TTAATAAAAATACTCATTTGAATAATTGAAAAGAATTTTATTGAACAACATATTTAACAAACAAACATTTTACGAGCTTGGCTCTTCCTTTTCGAGCGGCAAAAGACATGAAGTTCTGACTGTTCTCTTGAATTCCCTTCTATCCGTTTTAACCATGGCTACACTGGTAATGTTGTCATTTCCAAAAAAAAAACCTTTGAAATTCTACTTAGCCTCCATTGAAGTGGAGGTATGTTACTTTCCTTTATTAGAACCAAATCATCTTTTTTGGAACAGCCCCAATGATTTTTTCCATTTTGCCCTATATTGAAGCGTAGATAAATATTCAGTTTGTCATCGGTTCCAAACTTGATGTGTTAACTGCGTCACTCTCTGCCATCTTCTCAACCAATTGGGAATTATTTTTGTNATAACTGCGTTACTCTCTGCCATCTTCTCAACCAATTGGGAATTATTTTTGTTAAGTAGGGTTCAGGTATTTCTGTCAATGAACTACCGATTAAAAAATTAATAGGAGTTAATGCATTTAAATCAGACGGATCAATAGACAGCGGCGTTATTGGCCTAGAATTCAAACATGCCTCAAATCGCACAGGAGCGGTATATAATTCTTCGTGACTTAATGAATTAATTAAAAATTTTAAGTATAAATCAATTCAATATTTACATTTTGACACAAATTGAGATGAAAGTGAAGATTTACAAATTAAAGTGTATAATATTTTTTTCAGTGTACCACATATGCAAAATATGTGGCAAAAATAATTTATTTGTTTTATTAGAATACCAGCCTCGTTTAAGATAACCCTATTCAAAATTACCCCTCCTGACCATAAGTTTTGTTTGTGTATCTGTCCACTTTTTTCAGCTCTCACCGAAACGATATCTTTCATAGATACGTCAATATCATAAATTTTAACTAGTCGAAAATATTATCCTTAATATGTTTGAACATATTATTTAAACAATTAAAAATAATCCACCACTGTGTTTGCTTAAAAATATTAATTTATATAATAATGATAGGTACTAATATATATATATATAACACAGAAAATTAATAATTCTACTAAAATTTTACTTACTATAATATTTGTGTAATTTAAATTTTGAATAATGTTACCCAAGATATTTTATTCTATATTTTATACCTTTTGGATTCTAACTACAAAATGCTTTGTGAGTTGCAAAATAAGACAAAAAACATATGAAAAGTATTATTCAGTAGTAATGGATCATATAAGTGAACAAGTTGGATGGGATTCTATGCAGCATTTGGAAATTAAATACGACTTTTCTACAGAGATAAGTACTAAAATTAAGGACGTTATTTGCAAAGAGAGTCGTGTAGTACTACCAAAAAAGTTCGAAGCTATAATTCATATTTTAAATTACACGTATACAGATGTCATTCACACATTTATTGATCATATTAGCGCTATAGCTAAACGATGTCAAGAATATTATGACTTCAACCAGGGAGATAATTTTTTAAGTTGTACAGTTTCACTTCAAAGTGTTGTGGAAAATTCGAAAACCATGTTTGAACAGTTATATAATGTAATGAACTATCTTAGCAACATAGATTTAAAAACATTAGCGAGTGCAAAAAAAACTTTCTCAATACCTATAGTAGATGAAATTTATACATTTGTAGAATTTGCAACACTAAAAATTCAACAAAATACTCAGATTTTTATCGACCTAAACGATCCTAAGACAAAAGAAGATGCTTATGAGGTTATTTTAGATGTGAACCGTTTTATCAAAGGAATAGATAACGAAAGCTATCAGAAAATTAAAGAGAAAAATAGTTTAATTGTTTACAATCGTAAATCAAAGTGCTTACTTGAAGAGAATCTAAAAGACTATAATGCAAGACAAAATAAAAACATTGAGTTAAGCTATTATTTATGTGAATGGCTTAACATGTATTATAATGAAATTTCTACAAATTTCTACAAAAATCTTGGCTTTGAACAAGTTTTAGAATCAAAAAAAGAAGGGTAAGAAAATCTATTTGATATTATTGTAGAGTAATAGTAAACATTTATAAATTACTGTTTATATCATTAAATATTCTATTAATGAAAAAGTTTACAAGTCCGATAATAACATTATAATCGACTAACAAAAAAAAAAAATGTCTTGTTATAATGTTTATATGCTAGATGAAAGTCTTAGTCCCCTTACCCAATAAGAATTATTTATTATATCAGAAAATAATTTTATCCAACTGGATATGAACCAGTCAAACTTTTATTTAATACATTCTACATTAACTAATAAACAAAGTAATAACGAGTTCCCATTAAATTGTCAAAAGTTACCCCCCAAGAATTACTTTTTCTTACAATAAACTTGATATTTACAATGATTCATAATAATTAATTAAATTTCTATAAAAACATTATTTACGAAAAAACTATGAGAAGTATGATTAATAAATCTCAGTGTATATATTTTTTAGTATTTTCAAACCTCCAATTTATTCATATGAAAATATTTGTCAAAAACAAATAATCGAACAATTAAATGCAATTACTAAAGAAAGTGGATGGAAGTCGTTGAAACATATTAATATTATATTNACAATTACTAAAGGAAGTGGATGGAAGTCGTTGAAACATATTAATATTATATTTAATGGTCAAGTTATAAGCGTAGACCGTATTTTTAGACACCCAACAGACAGAATAAATTTTCATTGTAAAATTCAACATGTATTAAGGTTGATCAAGTGTATTTATACAGAAATATTGTTTAAGTATTGCAAGTATGTAATTTGCTTATTAAATTTTTGTGAAACAGTTTATGTAAAAAATAATGATGTAGCATATATTAATTTTGTGCGACAAATTTTTGATGCAGTAAATCAGACAACTAAAATGTTTGATATAATGTATAAAACATTGGTTTCATTACATAATTTAAGAGGTGAATATTATCATGACCACATCAATTCTAATTTAATATCTTTGTGTACTTTAATAACAAACTTACTTGAAGAAATAAAATCTGGAAATTGTTTAATGGCTGTTTTGGATACCAAAAGTGATAACAATAACATGAAAGTAACGCAATTGGACGCAACAACATGCGTTAGAAAATTCTTTGAATTTCTAAAATATAACAAATTGAAAAGTTCTCTAAATAAAACGCATGAAAAACATTGCCGATTACGAAATTTACCATTAGACATTGACATACCTGAGTCAATATATACCGATAAATTTTCATCTGCTTGTAACAAACTTATTGTATTTTCTGAAAATGTTATAAAAGTTTACTTTGAAGAATTAGGTTTAAATAAATTTAATTAATTTATTAATCAATTTTTTTTCTATATCTATTTTTATTTTTTTTATGTCTAGCTAGGTTCTAACGCAAACAAGGGGCTTTTTAGACTGTTCTTACAGCTTGATCACAGATACTCGTCTATGCTGGATATCTGAATTAATTTTAATATATAATAAAGAAAAACTGAGGTCGTTAGTTTAAATAAAATTGTATTATTCATTCAATAAAAATAATAAATAACACAATATAAATTACAAATAAAACACTATGTGATATAAATATAAGTAATCAATAAAAATACCAATAATTATAAATTAGAATCAATTAATATGATTTTTAGTATGTTCATAGTTTGATTAAAATCAATAATCAGTTGCAAATCTATATAATAGACATTAAAATAATCTATGAAATCTTTGAGTTAAAATTTAACTGTTGTCGTCTGTGTGGCAATTTAATGAAGCCATTCGTACGGAATATAAAAACAAATAAATATATATTATTATTAACTGCAGGTTTAAATACAATAACCCCCTCTTACACATATTTAATAATTAAATTAACTCAAAAAATTATTTTATTTTATTTTTGGAGTCATCCACCACTTTCTTAAAATTAAACATTATCTACAGATTTGTATTGAAACGTTTCTTACTATAGCGATTTTAATCACTGTCACTTATCATCTATTCTTGTCCCTACTATGCTACGACGAAACTGTTATACCGGTTTTTGTTTAATACATTATATATACCCCTCTCACCTTTTACATCCTTTTATCCCTTTCATCCAAAATACTTTTTTGTGTTTCTACATGGTTATTTGGTGTTTCACATTAAAAGACATGAGGACAGTAGATACATATAACTAACACAAATTTTAAGTAAGGCACCATAATAAAAATTATAACAACAAGCAAGCAAGCATATACGAATGAGCTTCAAATGTCATAATAAATTATTTTATTGATTGCAAAATAAAGAAATATATTAGCATGTAATCAATTAATTTAAACAGAACTTTTCTGAAAGTTTTCAGAAATTTTTCTATTTTATTATATGCAACCATGTGNAACTTTTCTGAAAGTTTTCAGAAATTTTTCTATTTGATTATATGCAACCATGTGACTGATGCAAATCAGATTATAACTGAAAAACGACGTTCTTATAATAATGTTTATAATTTTTAACAAATTGTCTTAAACTGCTAATAATCAAACATTTAATAAGAAGATCATAAATCATGTCATATAGGTATTTTTAACCTACTTAGAAATATATCCATGTTTTACACAGTATATTACATTATTTAAAAACCAGTAGCGCTAAACGATTTACAACCCCATAACGTTATCGTTTCTTATAATCATGTAAATATTTCGTTTCAATATATACTGATCCTGATTCATAGAACTTTCAAAATTAATAGAATAAAAAAAATATTTATATTAAATCATATCTAATGGTGTATAAAATAATAAAATTGTCCATTGGAAATATGTAGTTAATACAAATTTTAAGCATAAGGTGTATAAAAAAAATTGTATGAACATATTATTTAAACAATTATAAATAATCAACCGCTGTGTTTGCTTAAAATATTATTTTAAATAAATATGATATGTACTAAAATATATATATCTAACACAGAAAATTAATAAATTCTATTCTAGACCTATAAGAAAATTAAAGAGAAAAATAGTTTAAAAGACTATAAAGCGCTACAAAATAAAAACATTGAGTTGAGTTATTATTTAAGTGAATGGCTTAACATGTATTATATTGAAGTTTCTACAAATTTATACAAAAATCTTGGTTTTGAAGAAGTTTTAGAATCAAAAAATGAAAGGTAAGATTATTTATTTGAAAACTTTATAAATTAACGTTATTAAACGTAAAAAATTCCATATTTTCTTATACTACTGATTGATTTACAAAATTATACTGCATCTAAAGAGCCCCTTATGTAGATGCGAATAGAATAGAACCAAGTTTTTATAAATGTTATTTGGCAAACTAACTAGACAAAAAATCATATTTTCTCAAATATTACAATATTTACAAAACCAATATTAACGTTATTCACTTTACCTGTGATATTTGTTTCCCCCCATTTCTCATATTTATTCATGATGATTAAAAAAAATGGTCTTGTTAATGTTTATATAAGAGTTTAACGTTGGGCACCACTCTCATATATAATTAAAATAACTAAAAAAAGCCAGCACAGTAAGGTTGCGGTACAGTGATGCCATGGTATAGTTGAATCAAGTATAATGATATCTGACAGTGACTAAAATCACTATCAAAAATAAACGCTTCGATGCAAATCTTTAGATAGTGTTTAATTAAAAAAAAATGGTGGATTATTCCAAAAGCTACATGATCTGCTAGTTCCTTATTAATATCCTGATTAAGGTAAAGTATGTAGAATGAAAAAGGGATTATTAAAAAATATTATTTCTCATAAAAAAATTTTGTTAATCCATATACTTTTCAATAAGTTATAGCATTATAAAGTTAAAAATATAAAAAATAATATCGAGAATTTTCACACGAAAATAGCATTCGGTACCCATTTTTAAAAAATAAACGCTTCCATGCAAATCTTTAGATAGTCNAGAATTTTCACACGAAAATAGCATTCGGTACCCATTTTTGCCGTGAAGACAAGTCAAATTTTTTTTTTCAAATTAAAGTATGATATATTATCTTTAATTTAAGATATATATAAAAGTGTCAGACTTTCAGGAATACTTTCAAAAGTTAAGTTGATAAAATTCTACTTTCTATATGATTTTTTAATATTTAAAGCCCCCCCGTATATAGGGAAATGGTCTGATTTAAAAAAAAAGTATGTCGATTAAAATATGTATATATATACTACTTCACATGAAAAAATTGTATTGATCCATACATTTTTTAAAAAGTTATAGCACTTTAAAGTAAAAAATTTTAATTATAAAATCGAGAATTTTCACATAAAAATAGCATTCGATAGCCATTTTCACCATTAAGACAAGTCCAGAGGTTCAAAATTTAAGTTGAAAAAGTTAATTTTTTGTGAAAAAGTTGTCATTTTAAAATACCCTCTGTGGGCAGATAAAGGGTCGAATTTACAAAAAAAATATACCAAATGATAGGTAAATACATCAAACCTCTATATAAAAAAAAATTATATTGTTATGTTCATTTTTGAAAAAGTTACGGTAGTTTTTAGTAAAAAAAATTGAAAAAATTTCGAAAATTAGCGATATTTAAATTTGTAATTTTTTTGGTGGTTTCTCCCATTTACGAGGAAAGGGGGAAATTTTTTAATTTTTAAGGGTAATGTCTTCGACTAGATAGGATTTGTAAAGCTGTGAAGGTAGCTTCGCATCGAAGCTAAAAATTCATAAATAAAAAAAAACACATCATGTAAAATTAATGCCTTCTCAGTTTCGCATCGAAACTAAAATAATGTTATTGATCATGTTGTTGTCCAATAAAATTTTATTTTATTTTTTGCTCATTGTTTGTATAACATACAAAGAAATAATAAGTTTTTATTAAAATTTTAAAAATATCCTATAAAATCTATCCTTAGGAATAAGTTTTATTATAATAAACTTAATATTTACAATTTATTAAAAAAATTAACGAATTTTAATCTGAACATTTATCAAATAAACTAATGCTAATATTATTAATAAATTACACTATATATATTTTTAGTAGTGTCAGATTTCCAGTTTATTTATATGAAAATATTAATCAAAAAGAGGGAATCGAACTAATAAATGCAATTACTAAAGAAAGTGGATGGAAATCATTGAAACCTATTCATATTGTATTTAATGATCAAGTTATAAGCGTAGACCGTATTCTTAGACACCCTGTAGACAAACTAAATTTTCATTGTAAAAAACAACATATATTAAGAGTTATCAAGTGCATTTATACAGAAATAATGTTTAAGTATTATGAATATGTAATTTTCATATTAAGTTATTGTGAAATGAGATATGTGAAATGTAATGATTTTATATATATAAATTTAGTGCGACAAATTTTTGATGCTGTTCACGAGTCAACTAAAATGTTTGAAGTAATGTATAAAACATTGGTATCATTAAATAAACTAATAGGAGAATATATTCATGACAACTGGAATTCGAATTTAAAATGCTTGTGTTCTTTAATCAATAAATTACTTGAGGAAATTAATTCTGAAAAATATTCAATAGATGTTTTGGATAGCAAAAGTGATATCATTGAACAGAGTAAGAATCTATATTACGCAAGTACAAGTGTTAAAAATATTACAAAATTTTTAAAATATCACAAATCGAAACACCGTACTTTAAATGCTTCACATGAAAAACATTGTCGATTACGAAATTTATCGTTAAACATTGACATACCTAATTCAATAAATACGGAAACCTTTTCATCTGCTTGTAACAAACTTATTGTATTTTCTGAAAATGTTATAAAAGTTTACTATGAAGAATTAGGTTTAAATAAATTTAATTAATTTATTAATCAATTTTTTTTCTATGTCTATTTTTATTTTTTTTATGCCTAGCTGGTTGGGTTCTACCCAAATATTAAGCTTTTTGTGCTGTTCTTTTAGGTATATCACAAAATTTAGTAGGAGTCCCACCATAGCTGGGTTATTTGATTAGATATATAGAATGTTCAATAAGTAAGGAAAAGCGTTTTTACTGTTCTCATTGTTTGTAACAAATTGTATTATTTACTCAATAACAATAATAAAAAAACCAGCACAGTGGGATCGTGGCATAGTTAGGTCCAGTATAGATTTAATCTGACAGTGATTAAAATCACTATCATAAGAAACACTTCGATGCAAATCTGTAGATAGTGTTTAATTCTAAGAAATTGGTGGAAAATTACAAAAGCAACGTCAACTTCTATTTATTTAATTATATCCTGATTAGTAATTCTTATACTCCATAACTTGCATATTTGAACTTGACATTATAAAATAAAAAAAATGAAATTGTTAAGATTAATATGCAATCAGGGAAATTTATAATTACTATTTACTGTACATTTTTCAGAAAAGTAAGATTTTTTTACGTTTTTATTGTAATAGATCACTTAAATAAAAATCATAGTAATCATTTCTAATTAATTTTTGGTGTTTAAAAAGATTCTACGATGGAAATATTCAGAACTTAATTAATTTAAATGATTTATTTTAACTAAAAGAACCAATAAAAAAAAATTTGTTAAAAAGATTTACTTAATTGAGCGTATTATAAAATTTGATTATAATTGTAAATATCTATCGTTAAATTCAGGTGAAACTAAAAATCATTTTTTTTTTTTTTAATTTATGATTTATATAGCAACATGTTACAAAAAAATTTTGAATATTATAGACTGGTAGTAGCACACACAAATAGAGATAAAAAATTAATAAATTACAAAGTAAAATTATTTACTATTGTAGTTGAATACTTTTATCATATCAAATCTAATTCAACAATGAATGTTTCAAGAATATTATAAATTAATGATTTTAATTGATTGTATGGAAAAAGCTGGTTAAGCTACTTTTTATTTGAATAAGGAATATTTTTTCGATTTTTAAGAGTAATAACTTAAACTAAATATGAATTGTAATCATTTGACGTATCGTTGAAAAAAGTAGGTCTAGTGAGGGTTGGCAAAATAAATCGTAGCCACAAAAAAAACTACATAGTAAAATAATATTAACATGAATATAAATTTCTTCTCACGAGGGGACACTATAGTGATAGGATCCTTTATATTTATTGAAGTTATTGAATCTAAATGAGATAAATATCAAATGATTTGAAAATTTTATTCTAACTCAAAATTAATGCAAAATATTAATTGCCAGAAGTGGATTCGAACCTCGTACCCTTCGCGTGAAAAATACTAGTGATGGGCATTTTCGAATATTTTAAACTATCGAATACTATTCGAATTGTTTTTATCTAACCGAATAGTGTGTTTTTAGCATAAACTATCGAATAGTTTTTAAAAATATTAGATTAGTCTAACTAAAATTTTTATTAAGTACACTTAATTATAATAAGAAGATAATTAACGAATACTTAAAATAAATTATTATACAATTGATAACAGTAAAAAGTATCATTTTATTTATTTTTAGTTTGTGAGTCGTTGGTAAAAACTGATAAATATGGGTTGAAAATTAAAAAGCAGTTCTTTATTTCGATGCCTAATGATATATTTTCAGTTTTATCGGAAAGGTTTGTTCTATGCGCAACAGAAGTATTGGTAAATACTAAAGTCTTATTTTACACTTAATTCCTTGTATACTGTTCTTAGTCTAGTATTACCTGTTCTTTTGTCATATAAAGGTATAACTCCGATAAAGAGGACAGGGCGTTTTAAATTTTTACGTTTGTAAAAATGGCAACAACAATAAATACTGCTCCTCTTTAAAAATTTTATGAACTATTTTTATTAGTCGGTTAATCATTGAACACTTAGCGTAACAATGTATAAAATATAAATTATAGATTTTAATATTTTCTTCTAAAATTATATTCACAAAAATTTTCTAAAATTATTTTTACTTGCTCAAAAAAATAAAATAATAATTTATTAAAATTCATCTTTTTGAATATAAATTATTCTTAATTCTCGAAATAATTATTTTACAACAAAATGTTTCGTAAAAAAAAATATGTCAAGTTAAATTTTTTAAAACATTGGTCTTATATAAAATTATAGACAGATTTATAGTTTTGCTGTTTTAATAACACCAACGACTAAATAATATTGTTTAAAACTGTTTATTCAGGTTACTACGATTATAAATAGGATACAATTAATAATAAAAAAAATTAATGATAGGCATTTTAAAATATTTTAAAGACTATTCGAATATGCTATCAAATATTTTTAAAAATATTCTAATGGAGGTACCGAATAGTTTTTAAAAATATTCGAATAGACTATCGAATAATTTTTATAAATATTTGAATATATGTGTAACTATCGATTATGTTTACTATTCGAATAGTTTTTGAATGACTATCGAATAGTTCGATAGTTACTATTCGACATTTCCCATCACTAAAAAATACAAGTGTTACCGACTCGGCAACTGTTCGATGCTTTCGTCGCTTGATAAAATTGGCTATATTAACTAACTCAGATTTAAAAATTACTTTTTCGACTTTAAAAAAATAAAAAAATTCTAATAAGTTTAATTTCTTATGTCTTATGAACTTTATTCTATGTCAATTAAATAATAAAATATTCATGAAAGTCAGTGTATTGCCCTTATAAGATATTTTAAAATAAAATAAAATACAAAACCCAGGATTTTAACATAAAAATAGCATATTTTTGAATACGGTAGTCATTTGCGCATAGAAGATAAGGTGTCGGGAAAATTTTTTTTTATCATTTTATAGTATATGATATAACCTTTGATTTGATATATATTTAAAGGACGCAGTATTTCGTAACATTTTCAAAAACTAAGTTGAAAAAGTTAGTTTTTGTAAAAAAAGTTGCTATTTTCAATCCCCCCCCAATGAGCAGGTTAAGTGTTAGATTTTC